ATCACACTAATAGTCTTTTAGGAGGCTGGGTGGGCCACAGAGCCTGTCTGGACACTATGGAGCAGAGAATACTCTCTTGCCCTTATTGGGAATCAAACCCCAGCCATACAGCCCCTAGCCCATTGCCATACTGCATGTGCTACAAGACTCAAAATTAAACAAGGATGAACAATGTGTTAAAGTGGCTCAATCAGAAAAATAAAACAGTGCCGGTTAAACAGATCTGGCTATCCATATACCATTAAGAAAGGTGTTACAATATCATGCCACACACCATGAAGATTTTACAGCATTAAGAATGTGTCATGAATTGGCTTCCTTCACTGCATTAAAAATGTCATGATGACATTTGTTGCCCCCAAGTGGCTAACTACATATAATAACTAGTTTCTCACAATCCACTTCATTAGTTACAACTCCCCATGCCACCTCCAGCACTATTAAAATCCCATTATTTTATTTTTTACCACCCTAAAGACTATTAGTGTGATTAAAAAAGATTTACTCTTTTTGACGAAAGGCAGCAGACATAGATTTTCTTATAATTTATACTTATTCCATTATGTGAAATGGACAGCTAGTTATGACTTCCTGCTTACCTGCAGTTTCAACATGGCTGTCATTAGTAATTGGCTCTCCATTCAGCAGCCACGTGATTCTAGGTGCAGGTGAGCCCTTAACCACACAGTCCAGCTGTATGTCTCCACCTTCTTTCACTATCTGATTTCTGGATTCCCTCACTATCACTGGTGGCTCTGTAACATCCGTACTGCTGATATAACAAAACTGGAGAAAACTGTGTATTATATATGATGAGACGGACAGGACTTGAACAAGTACAGGAGATACGAGAAATGCATACAAAATTTTAAATCATAAAATCTGAAGAGAAGACAGAGGCATAGATGAGAAGATAATATTAAAATGGATATTGGATTCATCTGCATCATGTAGGGTCCAGTGGCAGGCTCTTGAGAACATGGTAATGAACCTTTGAACTCCACAAAAAAATGGGTAATTTCTTGGCCAGCTAAGCTCCTAATTGCTTCTGAAAAGAGACTCCATGGAGTTAGACAGTCATTACAATGACTTCTAATGATAGGGTGCTGTAATTGTTACTGTACCTGCAATAAAACGGGAAGAGTGAGGGTAAGAAATATTTTTGGCATGTGTAATATAGAAATAAATATTGGTATTGTCTGACAATGTTAGGCATATGTGAGTGACAGCATACCAAAGGCATCTTTATTAGATATGGAACTTAAATGAAGACAACCTATTGCAGGACCAACAATAATCAGATGAAAGGGCACAGAGAAAGAAAATGGATGGAACAAGAACAGGGACCATGAAAAGATGGGACAGAGTTGATGAATATATAAGAACTGACGACCTGCAATGTTCTGTAGATGGGTTCTGCTTACCCTGTACATACAACATGGTTGAATGTCTGACAGGCTGCCCCACTCCATTGCTCATTTCACATATGTACATTCCGTCATCTCCTTTCCTAACATGGCTAAGATGGAGTCCTCCAGGCAGCAGCTCTGTCCTATTTGGGGGTATTGTGCCACCAGACTTGTGCCACGTTACTTGAGGTGGGGGGTTTCCCACACTACTACACTCCAATGTTACATTTGAACCTGTGTAAAACAATAATTATTATTAGAAGCGGTAGCTAATATGAATGTTTGCTACTAGTTTTTGGAACTTGAAGAGTATGTGATGCAGTCAGTGGCTATGGTGGAAGAACTCTTCTGGCACTACCCGAAGCCTGCAACACTTCAGCATGCATACTGAAGTACGTAGCACGTCCACAAAGTAAGTTTCCCACTCGTCCCAGAGCTAGCAAACATATTGCACAAAGTGACTACACGTATGTGATAGAGCAATGACGTAGCATGGCGCATGCACTAACAGAATTTCCCACATTCCCACAGTAGCATCGTTGCAGCTGTTGAAGATGGAGGCTCTTATTCCAGCTCCCGCCGACTGTGAAGTGCGGTCAGTGATAAAGTTTTTGAATGCACAGAGCATAGCGCTGATTGAAATTCATTGTCAGCTGTGCTGGGTCTATGGGCCTAACGTCATGAGCAAGCAGATGGTGCATCGCTGGTGCAGACAATTTTCAGCAGGTTAACAAAGTGTGCATGATGAGAAGTGCAGTGGGCGGCCATCCATCATTACAGACGACCTGGTGGAGCTTGTGCGGGAATGCATTATGGAGAATCGTCGCATCACAATTATGGAACTCAGCAGTCATGCCCCACACATTTCCCGCTCCTTTTTGCACGAAACTGTCACGGAGCACCCGCTGTTCAGGAAATTGTGCGCCATGTGGGTGCCGAAGCAACTGGCACCAGAACACAAAACAAAGCGCATGGAGTCAGCATTGATCTTTGTGCAGTGGTACCATGATGACAGTGACGAGTTTCTGGACTGGATCATCACAGGTGATGAAACGTGGATTGCACACATTGCCCCAGAAATCAAGCAGCAGTCAATGCATTGGCGTCATAGTGGATCTCCCTGTAAGATGAAATTCAAGCAGTCGGCGCGGAAAGTGATGTGCACTGTATTCTGGGACTTCCTGACCAGAGGTGAGA